TCCTCCCCCTCCTCCTCCTCTTCTTCCTTTCACCTTTCCCAGGATTATACCTTTTTCTAGAGAGCTCTTTGCATGGTATAAAAGAAGTAGGATAATTCAAGCCTAGTCATTTGTGCCTGAATTGGGAACTCTGGGTTGATTTGTTCAATGATCCATCAATTTGTTTTCTTGGCTTTCTGTGGTATCCTCAGGAATTCTCTGTAACATCAAAGTTCAAAAGCATCAATACTTTTGCTATCCTGTTCAACCTTCACTTCCATAGAGTGTCAGAGGGAATACCATGGTTTGCATGATTCAGATTTTAACTGATCAAAAGATGTTAGCCATCGCCTTGTTTCTTAATGCTTATGATACATCTGCGGTTAATCACAGATACATCTGCATGATGCATCTGTGATTAATCACATCTCCTAAAGAACAGGCAGGCATGACAGGAAACTTCAAGAATAAAGTGGGCAGTATCAAGCAATCACAGTTACCGTGTCTTAAGGCAATAATCCGTCCCATGCACTGCTTTATTATTTTGTGTTTTTAAATATGTATTTTATCCAAATTAGGTACAATATTTGGGCTACCTGATCTGTGCTGTAAAAATCCATATAATATTCTTGTTTGCATCTTGGATTCCAAATTGTTGTCGTCTAGTTCTGGTAGCCCAACATAATATTAGCTTCTCCCCAAAGGCAAATAAAGCAGTGATGAAAGAACCATTTAATATGCTACAAATAACCAACAACAACTAAAATCAAAACAATCTGAGGTTATGAACTTTATTCAGTCTCTAAGAAAAGCTAGCAAAGAATCCAAAAGTGAAGTTAAAGTCTACAACAGGGGTCTTCAAACTTGGCCCTTTTTATGACTTGTGGACTTCAACTCCCAGAATTCCTCAGCCAGGCATGCTGGCTGAGGAATTCTGGTAGTTGAAGTCTGCAAGTCATAAAAGGGCCAAGTTTGAAGACCCTTGGTCTACAGTAACAACTTCTCCAACAACTCTAACATAGCTATTCTTCTCCTTTTCACTTGGTTTTAGCACATGCACAATTTATTCCAAGACCAAATATGGAGGTTCTCTTCTTTGGAATTTTGTTATGATAACAATTCCACAGGAATAGCTTGGTAGTGCTAGAACAGTAATACAAAAGCTTGAAAGGACCTCCTCTATCTTAAACTGATAGAGTAACTGAACCAATGGCAAATATCAACAATGGGGTGCCTGTTAATTATTTATTGGAACAATGTATTTCAGCGACACGTCTATTTAAATAAGGACACTAAGAGAACATTGTTCAAAATTATAGTAGCATTTATACGTAAATACAATTTTATTATTTTGTAATTTAATTAAAATGACAAAGCTGTAGACTAAACCAAACACTGGAAGAGCCACAGCATTGTAAGACAACAAGCAAATCAAGTGTAGGCTGCTAATCTTTAATGCTGGAAAATATTCACACATTCTCCACCAAATAATCTGTTGTATTTTACAAGTAGCTTTACAAGCCTGCATGTAATAAATAAAATGTTACAATTTTAGTTCCAGTTCCAAAAAGAGAAGATAGGGATAGGGAGTTACAGAGCTAACATTAGTTAATATCAGTCTCACAAACAGAAAATTGGATGAGTTTCTTTTCTACTACTATTTGCAGCATAAATAAATCTACAATGTTGCATGTAAGTGGAACAGAGAAGGTAAGGAAGGAGTTTGTGGTATTTTAAATATTATTTATTTTTCTTGCACAAAATTTAAATTAAGTGTCATTATGCGATATTAACAAACAGAGATTTGGTTTTCCAGTCATATACTCAGTAAGATTCATAATTCTATGTGATGGCAGATCTCAAGCCTGACAATTACTAAATATTATTACTAAAAGCATGTATAATACTGGGATGTGGGCATGCACAGAAAATCATGTTCCTCTTGTTACAAAATCTGCTCCTAACTGTACAATTCTATGCATACAGAAAGAAGGAATGTTGTTGGCTAGATATTATCTGTGCAAGCTTGCAACATGCTGGGGGAAAAAGGGTTCAGCTACTGAATAGGAGACAGATTCAAATATCCCACAACAAAATGGGCATATCATACTTCTAATTGTAGGTCTCTATTTCTCCATAGGGAAACCACATCCCACTCAAAAGGTGAACCAGGATGTACATAATTTGGGTTTATTCTTGCACTCAAAAGTAGTAGTTTGGATATGTGCAGTAGCACACAGTTATGTTGCTTGAAGGTAAAAAGAATACTGTGCATTTAGAATTGCCACAAAATATGCAGTTTCGAAAATACTTAACATAGAGAGAAAAGAATCTGAAAGAAGTCTACATTTCCACACTAGTGAGTGCTGCACATTAACCAATGCATTTGTATCTCAGACACTTTTGACAGGTTATAAATGGGTTACTACCACCCCTGTGCAAAGGAAACTCAGAAGAGTTGGGGTGTTTTATTTTGCCATACTTCACTCTTGCAGTCTGTATCGACTTTCACTCACAGACTGAGAAAGGGTGTGGGACAAAATGAACAAATTTCCCCACGCAACCTGCATGTTTAATCCTTTGCTTTAGCCAGGTAATCAGCTAGTTTGGAAATGGTCTCCTCCTGTTGTTCAAGAAGATCCAGGATAATGCCCATGGGAGTCTTCTTTAAGCCGATGCTTTCTATCTTGTTCTCCATCTTGTTCTTTAAATTTCGAAGCCTGAAGGATGCATGAAGAAACATCACTAGGGAAAGGAAAGCAACAGTAAGTCACAAGTGTTCTTCACTAGATAACTGGTGAAAAGATTGAGTGGCAGCCAACAAAACTGCCCTATTGACGTACTATGTTAAAGCAATTTTTTTTTTAAAAAAAAATCATAATTGGTCAACTAAGCCACAATAGTCTAAGCCAGAGGTAGGCAACCTCGGCTCTTTTATGACTTGTGGACTTCAACTCCCAGAATTCCTGAGTCAGCAATTCTGGGAGTTGAAGTCCACGAGTCATAAAAGAGCCGAGATTGCCTACCCCTGGTCTAAGCTATAAACCCTTGTTTAGTAGCCATAAAAATGCATTCATACATTAAGTCAAAAAACAAATATAATAAGCCACATTGATCTGTGAACCTAGTTAATTTTTTTATTGAATTTCAGAATTGTCATATAACATGCTAAGTCCTAAAATGTTTAGTTTAGTTTGGCATTCTTAACATCCTGTATGAACCCAGCCATTGAATCTTGTGAACTTAAAGTTCATGGTTTTATATGTACTGAATGTACCAAACCAGTTTTGGTTTATTGAATATTAATGGTTTCAATATCATAGCTTAACATGATATATCAACCTTGTCATTCAATATACTCATTCCCCCCCCCCAAATTTTATTAGTTTATCAAAATATAATATACTGTAAATGCAAAATACAAAAGAAAACAATGGGAAAATAAGGGAGGAAAAAGGGAAGAGAAAAGTATAGGGCAAGAGAGAAAAAGAAAGAAAAAAAGTATTGACTTCCAACTCCTTTTTGCTGCAGTAGAATAAAGTAACAGCACCAAACCTCAATTTTTTACTGTTATATCATGATATAAACTAGTCGTTTCAATAACAACAAACCTATCTAATCAGCAAAATCCAAAATCAAAGTTTTATTTTTTTTTCACTTCAAGCACAAAGTCCAGAAGTGGTTTCCAAGTAGTCATTCGATATACTCATAGGGAATAATTATATATTTGTGAGAGAGTCCTTATCCTGGATTAATAGTAACACAACAGAATTAATAGCCTCTTGTTCAGGTTGAAATTATGATGTATTAGTAAATCCTTTCTAAGACTCCTATAGTATTAGCCCATCTTTTGCTAATCTATCTACTGAGAAAAACAAAATCCACTTAGGACCAAAAAATCTCTTTATGCATGCATACACAAAACGTAACATTCATATTTTTCAGTTCCTTAATTCTGAATGCAGAGATTATTAATTTTTTTTTCTGCTGGTGATGGAGCTCTGCAATTTAGCTTAGTCCAATTTAATAATAATGATTATGATGATGATGATGATGATGATGATAAAGTTGGAAGGGACCTTGGAGGTCATCTAGTCTAACCCCCTGCTCAGGCAGGAAACCCTATACCATTTCAGACAAATGGCTGTCTAGTCTCTTCTTAAAAACTTCCAGTGTTGGAGTATTCACAACTTCTTAATGTAATATTAGCTCAGCTAAATGGATAGCCAGCCAGAGATTTATGTATTTATTAATCCAATTCATATAGCCATCAATTTATGTCCAAAACCCTTGGTGGCGAGCAAAATAAAATACTGCTAAACGTGATAGCAGGTTTCACAATTAAAACTGTTAAGTCTGCCATCTGGACTGTAAATAAAAACCCTGCACCTGAATATCACTGGTAAAAGCATCTACTGATTTCTCTGTATATTTGCAGCTAATGAGAAATGTTTCTTGACACCTAACAGTTTACGGAAAGAAATGAAAGCAGCTGCAGAAGGAACTGACATTCAGTTTTATGCCTGGCTACGGATAATGTAAGAAAAACTCACAGAACAAAGGAAATGTGATTCCAAATAGAAACACCATGACGCCTCCGAAAAAGGATATCAGGAAATAGCTCAGTAACATAATTGCTATGACAAAGGCAGCAGGGTACTGCTTCTTAAACTTGCAAATGAAGTCTTTTTTGTGGGATGCACACACGAAGGCTGTGAAGACCAGGATCACCACAAGGATGCCAAGCAGCATTTTCAGGGGATTCAGGAATCTGGAAAGATATGGACAATGGTGAACACACCCAAACAAATGATAATGGCACAACAGGACAACCAGCTTCTTTGGACCCAAGCAGAACCACTGAGCCTCTTGGCTTCAGACTCTCCCTCTGAGCTGTGTGGCTGCCAACACGTTGTTCAGGGTTCCCCTAACCTATGAATACAATACAGGTAATCCTCGATTTACAACCATTCATTTATTGACAACAGCACCAAAAAAAGTGACATGACCATTTTTCACACTTGCAAGTATCCTCCTCACATGATATGGTCATGTGATCAAAATTTGGAAGCTTGGCAACTGGTATGTATTTATGATGGTTGCGATGTTCCAGGGATATGGGATAATCTTTTGCAGTCTCCTGACAAGCAAACTTAGTGGGGAAAACAGATTCACGTAAAAACCGTTTTACTAACTTAACAACTGCGGTGATTCAGTTAACAGCTGTGTAAAGAAAAGTCGTAAAATAGGGCAAAACTCATTAAATAAATAAAACAGGCCTTTGGCAAGGAAGACTAAAACTTCTTCCTCTGTGTGTGTGTGTGTGTGTGTGTGTGTGTGTGTGTGTCCTTGATAGCTGCAAAAATGCGAATCCCGGGCATATTTGTTCAATAACACAGCCTTCGATCTCCGTGAGAGGTATAAACCAGTTGTTTATTGCTAAAAAGATATTTAAAAACAATAAAAACAACTATTTACAATGTTAAAAGAAACAACTTAGCTTTTGCTGGTTCCCTGCCAGCGTCCTCAGAGTAAAGCTTAGGGGATGGGGAGATTCTTTTTATACACCTTGCTGGCCTAACTGCTTACTCATTGCCCGTGTGATAGGGCCATCCTTCCTGGCTAACCGTAATTGCCTTGGTTGTCCCGCCTTCTCTTTTTTGCACTCCAATTCCACACCTTTCCCCTCTCTCATCCTTGTCAATCTCCTCCCTCCCAGCACCATTGCTGCCGGTGTGCTCTCTAACCGCTCCCTCCTGCTCATTCCAGGCTGCGCATTCAGATCCAGTGTTCCAAAAGGCTTGCCATCAGCGCTCCCTTCCTTTCTAGCCCATTGGTCTACACACTGTTCCTGCTTTCCATCATCCATTCCTGTCAGTCTTTTTTTCTCCGATACACACACACACACACACACACACACACACACACAGAGTTCCTTGAACTGTCATCTTCATTTATTTAGTGCCTGTGTGTGTATATATTTAATTCAAGTATTTATTCTATTTTCTCTAAAATATTCTGTACAAATGCCAGATGATAAGTCCCATCATCTCTAGCCAGCACAGGTATAGTATAGGTGGTACCTGGCTCAATAGTAGTAACTATGAGAGGGATCTTGGAGTCCTAGTGGACAATCACTTAAATATGAGCCAACAGTGTGCTGCAGCTGCCCAAAAAGCCACAGTGCTAGGCTGCATTAACAGAGGGATAGAATCAAGATCACATAAAGTGTTAATACCACTTTACAATGCCTTGGTAAGGCCACACTTGAAATACTGCATCCAGTTATGGTCATCACGATGTAAAAAATATGTTGGGTATGTCTAGTTTAATGAAAAGAAGGACCAGGGGTGACCTGATAGCAGTGTTCCAATATCTCAGGGGTTGCCACAAAGAACAGGGAGTCAAACTATTCTCCAAAGCACCTGAAGGCAGGAAAAGAAGCAATGGATTGAAACTAATGAAAGACAAACTAATTTGTCTGAAATGGTATAGGGCAGTGATGGCGAACCTTTTAGAGACCGAGTGCCCAAAAACTGGCCTCGCCCCTGCTCCACCCCCTGCTCTGCCCTCCCTGCCTGCCCGCAGGGCCACTCACCACCTCCAGGGCCCGCCACAGATCACCCAGGCAGCCCAGCAGCGCCACAGCGGCCACGCTCTCTGCCCACGCCCCGCAGCATCAACTGTGTGCATTGGGGCGTGAGGGCAGAGTCTTGTCTACACTGCCTGGCTGCCATGTCCTTGGCTGCGCTGCTCTGCGTGGGCCACACTCAGGAGCGACTCTCCTCCAGGGAGGCTGTTGGTGAGGAGGGGGTTGCGGGTGGAGGCAAAGCTGGGGCAATGGCATGTGTACCCACAGAGAAGGCTCTGAGTGCTGCCTCTGGCACCCATGCCATAGGTTCACCACCACTGGTATAGAATTTCCTGCCTGAGCAGGGGTTAGACTAGAAGACCTCCAAGGTTCTATTCTATTCTATTCTATTCTATTCTATTCTATTCTATTCTATTCTATTCTATTCTATTCCTATTCCTATTCCTATTCCTATTCCTATTCCTATTCCTATTCCTATTCCTATTCCTGTTTCAGACATTTGATTAGGGAAGACTGCACTAGATCCACAAATGTCATCTTCCTTATCTGTGTCAAAGGAAATTATAGTTTGATCACTGGTCGTGGTTAAACTGTTGGAAAAGTTTTGGAAAATAACATCATGATCTATCTTTGTTCAGTCAAACAACGGTATTAAATCAAGGCAACTCTTATAAATGCACTTTGCAAGACAAGAAAGAATAGACCACTGGTCTTTTGACTATGGTCATGGTGAAACATCCATAATAATGTTGAACTATGAAGTATATTTGGGTTGCCAACTATGTTCTGGGCAAAAAAAAAATATCCTGTTCTAAACTGCCTAGTTTGTGAATGAACCATTCTTGCTGTCCTGTCCAAAGCTAATTCTGGAACATTGCCTGCTATGACATGTCCACTAGCGTTCACTCTTATAAATATCCAGTAGGCTTCAATTCATTTTAGATTCATTGTCAAAATATTGGATGCCAAAGATATAGCTGGAATTAGCAAGTATCAGCCATCTTTCCTTCACAACAGTTGTTGACCACCTGCTGTTGTCGCTCATTTGAAATCCCGAGTGTCATACAAAGAACAGTCTCTCTGAATGTCTGAGTCACTTATGGTCAGCCGTAGCTATATTTAGAACAAATAAAAAAAGACTTTCTGGAAATTCTGCCTGGAAAAACTGAACAATTAACTCCAGCCAGAAATCACTGCTGTATTATTTATTTCATAGGAAATGTCGCTCTAAAAAGGTAGCCTTGTACATTGCATTAAATAAAAAAAAACCCGCAATAACTTACGTTTAAAAGTTAGCTCAGAAATATTAGGCCAAGACTCAGTGGGGAATTAACTGAACACCATGCAAAGCTATCTTTCTGGGACTGCCCAGAGCCTAATCTATGTGTACAAGTTTAATCTACACCTAGGGGGATGCAATATAGCAAGTAGATAAATGGGTACCACTTTGGTGGGAAAGACTTAGCTGTGTTTGTGAGCATGGAGAGCAAAGGCCAGCACTTGACCTGGCCGGATGCAAGCCACTGCGACACAATGTGAAGTGAGGAGAGGGGGGGGGGAACCTGGAAGAGCCAGCAATCTGAGCCCCACTAGTTAGCTGGTGTAAGCTAGTTAGCCCCCTGTGGTGCACCAAGGATAGGCACACAAGTGCCAAACAGAATGAACTAGCAATCTAGGCCAGTGATGGCGAACCTTTTAGAGACCGAGTGCCCAAACTGCAACCCAAAACCCACTTATGCATCATTGGGTGCCGGGTGGATGTGCCCCATTGGCTGGGTGTGGCCCATTGGCTGGGCGTGGCTGCGGTGGTAATGGCAGATTGGGTGGAACTAAAAAGTTCAATCAATCAATTCCAACTTTGCAAGATTTTTTTTCCCGTTGAAACTGACTGATAGAACCTTTTTTTTTTTTTTGCACATGGCGGTGGACGCCTAAAGCGAAAAGGTTTTATAAAACCCAGCTGAAGGCCTAGGACTGGGGCGACAGCGCGTGTGCCCCCAGAGAGGGCTCTGAGTGCCGCCTCTGGCACCTGTGCCATAGGTTTGCCACCACTGATCTAGGCTGTCAGGACTGCATTGTGTCTAGAATGTGTAGATTTCCCTGACATTATATGCAATACACTAAATAAATAACTACACCTAAAAGCACTGATTGATGAGCTGCGATTAGTTTGGCGTGTCACAAACTAATGCAGTACAAACATCACATTTCTAGCAGGAAGCAGAGCAAGGAATTTAACTTAATTAAAGCTTAAAGCAGCTGACACTGCTTTAACATTATCTTTTTGGCTCCCACGTTGCATCTGAGCTACCACCTTTTGCAGACAGTAATTGACCTTGCTATGCCAGACAGGCAAAGGGGAGTCAAATTAATCAGTCCAGAGGATTGTTTTGTGGAAGCATTGATCAAGCCCCGACCAATCCTTTTACAGCTGCTAGAATCTCTGGTCTGACACATGAAGGTAGTTGTATATTAAAACTCACATTTGTCACAGAGAACATCATATTGAATTCCCTCATGCATGGTTAGGTCACTTCTGGTCCAACCAAAATTAACTGCTACTCAGGACCTTCAGGAGCAGCGCACCCATGAGATACCTGACGGATCTGAAGCACCTTCAGATGTTTCTCAGGCCATACATTACTTTACTGCAAATCTCCGGAAGATGAAGCATCAGAAACAATGTCTGGGGCACCAGAAGAGAAAGACCAGCTGTGGATCTGACTGATCCCAGATATAAGCTCAAGTAAACAACTATAAGGCAGGAAAAGCTTTCGTTTTTAATGCTTATTGTTTTTAATGTTCTCCTTTATTTCATGACATTGTAAACTGCCTAGAGTTGTTTGACAGTGTGATGGGTATATTTAAAGTAATATGTTCCCTTAGGCAAGGATGAGCAGGAAGATTTCCTGCCTAGAAAGATTCAAGCAACACAAATATACACATTTAAAGCAACAATCATAACAACAGCAGACAGCTGGCAACCCTACTGGATTTGGCAGAAAAAGCTCAGGAAAGGTATACTAGATTGCCATATGTTTCCCTGCAGTGAGTCAACATTCAAAGTTCCAGTTTTTCACCGACTGGTGAATGGAAATAGAAACCACAATAAGATGGAATTGTACACATGGGCAATTTCAAACTGATATCTAGGTCTCTTGTATTGGATTTGTTATCGA